TGGCAACGGTTTACACCTGTTTCTCTGCCAATCAAATCACAGGCCACCCCCGTACTAAGAAGAGGACGGAGGCGATTGGTGGGATAGATGATTATAATGATGAAAGGTCAAGGTCACTTGGGTTTCTTGGCGCTGGCAGGTGCGTCTGGTTTGTAGGACTTGAGGTAGGCCGGAATGGAGCTGTTGATGACGCGTTGGTTGCGCTTCATCGAACGATCGGCCATCGACGACTGCGGCAGATTCGACAGACGTGGATAGGGATTCTTGTAGTGCAACGCCAACTCCAAACGCGACTCACCCTCCAGAATGTGAGCCTACAGACAAAGCGGTGTGAGGGGCGGTTTCGTCTATCATATCACTCAATGGTTGCCATGGCGACCGTGAACTCACTTCAATTGCCTGTGGGTCCGTGAGGTTGGCGTTCCTACGGAAAAGGGTTCGGGCTTCCTGTTTAATGTACTCCTGTTCTTCAACGGTCTGGCGGATGTCGTTGGTAGCCGACGTCCAGGACTTGGACAGACGCATTAGCCTTCGGTAGAGGTCGAGGACACGAGCCCGCTGCTGCTCTGACCCGGCCGTGAAGCTCTTGGCTATCGTCTTCAACATTAACTAAAATTGCAAAACAAACACTATACTAATAATATTTAAGTAGCAATGAAGTTAAATATTCACTAACATCGGCTTTTCCGTGGTCTGGCTTGCAAGCATCCACACGAAAATCGCATAAATTTTGACTTTAACGCCAAACACGTTTCGTAGTCAGAGGTAACTTGGCATTATGAGATATCTAATGGATTTCAGCGACCCGATCATGGATATGGACGATATGAGCTCTGCAACGATTACAAAGCTTCATTTTTAACATTTCCGGATGCTGCTACAAGAAATATTCACGAATTTCGGCTGAAGGAAACGTCAACTGTCGTCACTCCCAAGAACGCCTTCAAGCCGCACCTGGAAGGCCGCCTCGATGGCCATGGCAACGCTTGTGCTTTAGACAAACAAACAGACGCACGTGATCTGTCGAACCGCACAGTCACACATTATTTGCGGTGTGTGTGTGTGTGCACTCACGAAAATGTCCAGAATAAAGCCACTCGTGAGGCTAACCACAATGAACCCAAAAGGGAACGTCGCCGTACAATGGGAGAAGCACAGCATTCCCCCAAATTTGTGCTGTGCGCCGCCTAATTGGGCGAATAGGGAAAGAGCCTATCGCGGATTGGCTGGTTGACTCGAGTGGAGTTTGGGTTGGCCGATCTGATTGGTTCAGTGGAGAGGATGTGACAAAATGCAATTTCTGACCGACAGAGCGCATTTCCACCATGTTATCGCAGGTTTTGGCGTGTTAAATACTAAAATAAATTGGTCAACCAGTGAAATAAAGAGAACCTGAGTGCGTGGTTATCTCCACGGTGGAATGACCTTGCACAGAGACCAGGAGCAGGCGGCTAGCGCGCGTAATGTGTTTACGCGAGGCCCTTGGACGACGCCAGCTGGCAGAAGCGTAGTTCCATAAACTAGGTTCTGGACAAACCGAGCCACGGCGATACGTGGACGCAGGTTGTGTTTTTAGGACGACATCAACTAATTCACTTTGTCGGAACCTACTTCCGGCTGAAGACCCAATTACAACGAGTTTAAACAATTACGGGGTGTTTGCATGTGTTGACAGTCGATTAGTGTGGATTAAATTCAGCAAGAAAAGGTGAGTTTTTAAGAGGGCAAAAGAATTGACCCCGCCAATAACAATTAAACCCAATTTTAGCAAGCGCCTGCCAGACGCGCCGCGTAACCATGGTGACTAAAAGTGAGGCATGTTGGCGGGGCTATTATTGTCACCCCGAGGGCAGAATCGGCGACAGGAAATAAATCCAAACTGGCAGATTTGGTGCGGCCGAACGAAACAACCCGCCAATCAGATCGCGCCAGCTAGCAGTATAAAAAATCGATAGATTGCTCAGGACGAACGCAGTGCTGAAACCACCAATCAAATTCATGCTTCCGTTCATCAATCAAATTCGTTCAAACACAATGCAAAGTAAAAACGCCGCCATGGGTTCACACGCTAGCGGACACTTCACAAACGACAACCAACGAACTCGGTCGAATGGAATTAGCAAAAAGGCGCCTTACAGGCGTCGGCATACTACATGTGCTGGCAGGCAGACCCAGATTAATTGCAATGCATTAGTGTTCTTGTGAGTGTTTACCTACTAGGCAAAAAGAACACAAGCCAGAACCCGGAGCGATAGTGATTATGATGAAGAAGCACAACCAGAACACATTAGAAGGCAGTTAGAACAGCCACAAGGGGGAGGCACTGTGTGGGGCAAAATTTATTCGCGGAAATACATCGAGTCTCTGCAGTGAGAACCGGAAAGTTGGCAGACATCAGGTATGTACAAGGCGGAAACATCTAGTAATAATGCGTGAGTCACTGTACACACACGCGCACACGCTAGGCGTCGGCGTTAGACGATGTGGCCGGTTGCGAGGCGACGCTAGTCAGACCGGGCTCGTTGTGACGGCTGCTGGAGGGCAGGCAGGGCACCGAGGCACCGCGAAGGGGTCTGTCGACCCCGCCGCCGGCGCTTGCGGCCAGTCCGAAGCGGTTCGTGATGAGCTGCAGCGAGGTCACCCACTTCTCGTACTCCTCGGAATTCGTGGCGGCCATGCGGTAGGTCGTGTGGTAGTCTAGACGAGAACCAAGTCCAGTGAGCGACAGGCGGGAGGAGTGTGCGGAGGGGGGGGAAGGGGTTGTTGGGGGAGGCCTACCTGTGATGATGACACCCTCGCGATCGGCCTTGCGGGTGTTGATGGTGGCGCCGGTGGTGCCGTTTTGACGGGGAAAGAGCTCGAAGCAGTACTCCCTGGAGCGGTCAGAGGCCCGACGAATACTCACGTTCTCCAACGCCACGATGCCCTTGCGTTGGGTTGTTCGCTGGCGAGGCAAAAAGAAGCCGTATTTTAAGCAAAGCGAAATCACTGACGACGACGACGACGACAACGCCCATTTTGCCAAAGAATGACTCACTTCGGGGGCGTTGTAGTAGAAGAGGTGTTGCTCTGTCAGAACGAACCACCGCCGTTTCCAAATCTTGACACGTCCACCTGCGAGAAGAGGAGTTTAATCAATAACGAGAAGAAATGCCGTCTGGTGGAATTCCGTTCCACGAAGCCACCGCCAACTCACGTCAAACGCTGAGGGCTCAGCGAAAGTTGGAAGGGGTGGGAACAAAGCAGTGCTAGAGTAGACGAAGGCGGCGTATTTGCACTCAGTGTGTACAGAATTTTTCTTAGAGTTCAAAATTGCATTTAAAAGAGAAGTATTTTCGTGGTCTTTTGTCAATTTGAAGGGATCGGACGCACTCTTCCAGAACTCCGAAGGACAAGTCTACGCGAGTTAAAAAACCTATCACAATTGTAAAGCTTACGGTGACAACTGGCAAACAGCACATTCGATGGCACGGCAGTTTATGCGAATTCTAACAAGGAAAAAGTGATTATAGAGCACGTTGGAATCAAGTCACGCTGTTCTCGGTGTCGACGTTGTGTCAGACAAAACGTGTTATACGTGATGATTTCGACCTTGGTGACAAGCCGCACGTCAGATAGCAGCCTCGAAGGTGTGAAGATGTGGTATTGCAGGCTCCACTGGATGTAAACTCAGGGCGAACGCATCAAGAGCTTGCAGCAGCTCAGTCTGGAGTCACCCAAAAACCAATCGCCTCCGTCCTCTTCTTAGTACGGGGGTGGCCTGTGATTTGATTGGCAGAGAAACAGGTGTAAACCGTTGCCAAGCCAATATGCTGTGCTAGTCGTCAATCAGCCCATTATATATTATATTATAGTCGTCAATCAGCCCTGTAATTCTGAAAGTATGTTGTCCGAATTGTCCAAAATTAAAGAGCTATGATCAATTATCTGGGGCATTTGCAGCCACGAATCCCCAAATTGCAAGTTAATCAATTTGTAGTGTTCTTAGTGTTCACATTTTGTTCTATAATATGTCTGGTAATTGATACAAACGTTTAGGCAGTTGTAGCTTCGATCTCAGTGATCAGGCGGGCCCCGTGAGTACAAAGATGTGGCAGTGCAGGCTCCACTGGATGTGGACTCAGGGCGAACGCATCAAGAGCTTGCAGCAGCTCAGTTAGAAGTCACCCAAACATCTATTTTGCAGACGTTCACACCACCGAATGGGAAAAGTTCAGAAATCATTAAAATTGGGTCCCCCACATGTGTTGACCGAACACAGCCAACCTCCTTGGTCAGCGTAGGAACTCACACCTTCCACTGCTTGCCAGTCGGCAACAAGTCGTGAATGGACTTCCTGTGAAAAGTTGTGACGGATCACGAATAGCACATATTTTTACGCGAGAAACAGGCGTGAAAATGTTGTCGTGGGTAGATCCCGACGACGAAACAGGACATCCACGTAGAGAAGGTTCTCCTGCGAATCTGGAGAGGGTGGAGGGGGGGCATGAAGGGTGAAGTAAGGTGCCCTGTTGCAACGTAATTGTTGGAGGCGTCCGATTTGGCACGGGATTGCACGAAGCGAACGCGTGACTGACACAAGGCCACGTCTCTCGGCGCACAAGCCACCATGCGCGGTAGCGGGTGAAATCTAAGCCGATTAGGGTTGGCCAAGAGGTTACCACAAGGCAGCAAATCTTGCAAAGAATTACAATCGTTGTGGGTTCAAGCAGAGGGCTATTTGATAGTATTACAAATCGTTCAATCACAAAACAGCACCTGAGCCACCCAAACGCTTTGTTCCTATTGGTAGGCTCGTTGGTGGCCTCCTCTAAACACAAACCCGACCCCACGAAGACCGCAGGGGTGTTTACACAGAGGGGACGCTACAAACAGATGCACGACTGGGGGGATACGCAAGCAGCACACGCGGGGGAGGTGGCGTGGCGGCTGCAGCACAAACAGCGCTGATTAGAACTGGACCCGCCGCTTTAGCGCGAATTCATCCTGTTGATGGGATCACACCTAAGAACACTTGCTGGAACCGTTCACGAACGCTCTTTCAGTTAATGGCGAGTTAATTGACTCTGGCAAACGAGCCATGAAACACTTTTGGAGGTGCCCACTTCTCAATCCACTCCAGAGTTCCAACAGTGGCCGGTGGGGGTGGTCAACGTGCTGTAGCGTGTTTACTGAGCGTACGGACCCACGAGATCAACGTTGGGGGGGGGGGAGAGGGTAGGCTCCAGGTCATTTGAGGATAACCAGGGCTGGTTGGGTTTAAGCTTGCTCAGGAAGTCACGCAAGCGGTTGACATTGAGGGGGCCGCTTGGTGATAGCGTTTTTGTTTACTTTGAGGTAGAGTGGACGGGATTTTGGTGGAGAATTGGTGGGAATTGTGATGGTGAATCTACTGTGGTGATGGGAGTTCCAAATTTTGGGATTGACGGGTCAATGAACACACTCGGTGCCACGTCGGCACGGAGGATCTGCGTGGATGGCGAAGCGATCAAGAAGACGACAGGGACTAGACTGTCTTGTGGACATGGATGTGAAAAGATGAGGGAGGTGTCACTAGGGCAAAACCGGACATGTGTAAATCCGATTCTACTGATCCGAAAATCTCGGTGTGAAGTCATGATTCTCACAACAAACACAGACCGCTATGCCAGTCTCGTTCACAGTCTATAGCACGACGTTATCCAATTAAAACCGGCACATTCCAGATCTGTGGAGGTTAGAAAATCGATAACAAGGCAAGGGCTCAATTATGAGCAGCAAAATGGGCAAATTTGATAAATATAGGCAAGTTAACTCACTAGATGGCAGAGCGTGCTCAGTGTGGGGTCTATGGTGATGCCACGAGGCCAATCAAAGCGTGTTTTCGATTGAAATACAGAATTTAATGCACGAATTAGGAAATTGTAGCTACGAGGGTGACAGATTACCCCGAAAAAAAAACCCTAAAAACGGGAACGTGCACACTTTGCTCCTCCTTCTCCCCTTCTCCACCCAAAGCGAAGGCGATTAGCGCGCAACTGACGACCACAGCTGTCAGGCGGCAGTAAGAGCCGATGTGCTATGTCTGTGTTGCAAGGTTAACAGACATCGTTTCAACGCATACTGCACTGGTGATGGGCCCAGATTCCAAGGAATCGCCGTGTTCTGTCCAAACTCGGAAACGCAAAGCTGAGATGAGAGTAGATTTCAGCGCCAGAGTGATCACGTGCGAGTCCGAGTACTTTTACTGGTTCGCGCAGGTCGTGGGGTGAGCGAGCGTGCATGCACGTATGCGAGGTCGCAATTGTGGCGACCCGCTATTGAGAGCGATCAGAATGCAGTGCGCCTGATGCGCGTCGCCTACCGCCAGACAACCCGGTTCTGAGGGCGTCGGAGGATTACGTGGATCACGAAATCCAGATCAACAAACACCGAGGCAAAACGGTGCCGCACAAACGCTACCAGAGCGTCGAAGGTATTTGCGCGACCAACACCGCGCAGATCCACTCTCGATTTTGAACAGATACACACAAAAAAATGTCCGCCGCAGAAAGCCACCACTGCTGCAAAACCAGGAAGTAGCCCTGGCATTGGCCGCAAACACACCCATCGGCAAACTTTTGGTTGGCAATTTGTCAGAACTCACCCAACTTCCACAGCCAGCCGCGAATGATGCATGGCTCGCAGTTCTCCTCCACCAGCACGATCGGGTTTGACTTGATGCCCTGGTACACACTCTAGAGGGTGAAGGAAACACGGTGAGCGAGCTGGGACACCTGCTAGAGAGACTAGAAGACCTGCGGCTACACCTGTTGTGCATCTACTGCGTCGATGGCCAGCGATATAGTCGACAAGGCGGAGACACACTGCCTGCCTACGACGCCTGCGATAATTAGTCAACAAGGAGACTGTTTTTGGAGGAGGACAAACTGACACAGGTTGCTTGCCAGATGATCAGAGCATTTGTGTTTGGAAATAGGAAGTTTTGACAACTAGGCAATCGAAATCATCAGGATTTTGACGACACCAAATTACACATATGGAATAAGCAGGTTTGATTGGTTAGGGATGTACTTAGATAATAGTACTAATAAAATTATGCGTGAAGGCAATGAATTTGTCAAAACTATCAGTGAGAAAGGACAAGTTAGAAGGGGTGCAAAACGGTGAACACTGAGACATCACACAGCCCCACCGCGCGAATTGTTTACAAGTCGACAGAACAGTCCCGAAGTGTTAGTCACACAAAAATAGAGAGGGTTTTGACTGCAAAGGGAATTGGGGGGGGGCAGTGAAAACAGACACAAAAACAACGCAAACGGCTGACCAAACGTCAGGGGGCGGCGTGGTTGAGGCAAAAAAAAACACAATAGCATGAAGAGATGAGGACTTGCGTAAACACGAGGACTTTAAGAGGTGAGTGAGATAGCCGAGCACATACGGCGACAAACAGAGCTGATTCGACATAGCGCAATCCAGAATTAAACGAAAACGGCACTTACGCGAACGAGGTCCCTAGGTAGGTTCGTATCCTTGTCGAATTCGAGCAGGGTTTGGAGAAACCTTTTCTCGTCGCCTAGGCTATTACTGTGGCCTTTGGCATTGGCATTATGTAATGTCGTGTTCAAAAGTATTGTGGCATAGGCCAATACGTAGGCATCTTCTGCATAATCAGAAAAAAATACATTTATTGACAAAAAAACCAAACCCACGAGGTCTAGCACTTCTGTAAACTTTGATAATCGATAAATGGACTGAAAGATGATACAACACAGAACAAACACTTCAAGCAGGAACGTTTGTGAACGAAGATGATAAAACAAACTCACGAGAGTTACGGAAAGAGCCTGGATTTTGCAAGACGTATTCTTGAGCAAAATATGTGACAATCTTGTCGATTTTTTGGCTTTCACCAGGTAGTTGGAAACTGAGAAGAAAGGTCCTATAATGAAGGAAACACAAAGAAATGTTAAAGTTTAAACACAGACATAATTTATATCTGTTATAAATTTGTTGGCGTGTTTGTTAGTCTATACGCAAAACTACGAAACCCTCCACTGTAAATCAATAGACGTCTCTACATTTAAGTTAAGTAAAATGAAAGTGCAAACAAGTGAGCCAAACACAGAAGGGGAAATTAAAAACCATTAAAGCAACTTACCTGAGTGCCTGTAGAAAGTCCAGGCCACGAAATTCATGAAGTTTCAAGTATTCCTCTAGAACCTGCATGTTGAATTCCTTTGAGCTGGAATTAAAAGAAACATAAGGGTTAGGGAAAAGATTAAAAAGGCGAAAACTATAAATTTTACTCGTAACCGTGTGGTTAAACCGATCTCTCTACTCAGTTTAGACAATTCAATGCTGCAAAACCGCTCACGTATTCAAATATATTGATTTTTTGCCAAAGTAGAAATTCATTTACTCACATCTCTCCAAAATACGCCCCGATCGCCGATTTCGATAAATGCCGTTTTTCCTCGACAAAAAAACTTGCAACCGCAGGTGGATTTCGTTCCAAAATATGATTTTCAAACAGAAATTCTAGACCCTAGAAATGTGTCAAATAGGGATTTGGGGCGGTACCGCTTTCGGATTGGAACAAAATTTGCGTTTCCCAACATTACGACGGGCTTCGAGCTCACTAAGAGCGTAAGAGAATGATCAATAGCACCTACCCCTCAGGAGAAACGCCTGCTTCTTCAAGGAGACGAGTGACATGTTCATATTCTGACTTCAAAAGCTATACACTAAATATGTGATAGCGAAAGCTTACTTGAATATTTTTTATGGTTTCAAGGCGTTGATTTCGAATAGCTTCAAGCCTTTCACTTATATCATCTAAGCATTCTACAACAATAAAGAATTATTGGAACACACCAGTTGCACTCATTCTGACGAGCCCCAACAGAACCCAGCGGTAACAAAAGCACTTCTGAACACTAGATTAAAAAGATAAAGCGCGCAAGCTAAGTAACACCAAAATCATCATCGGTAACACTTAAAAAAATTTCCTACATATTTAAACCAAAAAAATTAGGAAACAAAATAAAATAATATTCCATAGAATATTAGTTTAAAATAAAATGCATTAGACACATTTGTATTTCCGTTTTACTAAGGTAAATCATCAATAAATAAAACCCAATAATAGTTCACACTAAACGTTTAAAGCACCTTTATTGTGGCTTTGTCAGCATCACAAATGATAGGCAATAAGATTTTTGGAAGTCAGATATAGGCTAACAAAGACGACTTCATTGTGTAACTTTATCAAAATAACTACTCTGATAAAAAACGCAGGTATACAAAAAAACGAGCACAAATTTTAACAGTGCTACCTTGTTTTATATTATTGCTTTGATAATAATAGTATTTGCTAATTAATTGTACAAAATTAAAGTCATTTAAATTTAGTATAAACGAAGATTATTCAGAGGTTTTTTAAAAGAATATTACATAATATTTTCAAATCTGTATGCAGAATTTTGATACGGGATCAAAACCCCACCCTAGTTTTTACTTTTAAAAATTTCATTCTGCTTCGAATGAAAAGTAAAATTTTTATAGATTAAGCCTGGTGGAGGCTTCCCAGCAAGGCCTGTCAACAAAATCTTCGCAAAAGTAATCATCCGAAAAACTTCTGTCACATATAGTTTTCTTTTAATTCAATATTTAAAGAAATCTTGATTCTGATTTGAGTAAGTCAACACTGAATTTAGTGACAACTTGATTTTTAAAACACAGTATCACAAGAGCACCGCAAGATTTTAACCTACAAACTGAAGGATAGCCACCCTATCAGGGTGCATAACCAGATATACAAAAGAAGAACATAGTGGGGAATCAGATGTATTCTATATTACCAAATACAACATCAGTGGAATTTGGGCTTTTTGAGAGAGTTGTGAATGGAGGAGAAAGATCATGGCCATTGCGAGCATCAGAGTTTCTCTTAGGCCCACGGACGTACATCCAAGAAAGCGGGAAGGCATAAAAAGAGAAGAAAAACAAATAACAGGCTACATGGGCGTGTGCTGTTCAAATTTCGTAGTTTACATTTTGTCGATCTAAATTAAAAAATCCGCTTTGATGCTGAGTTAAGAATGATGGGCGATATATGAATACACATAATTGGTAATAAAGCAATAAAAAAATTTATCAACTACGATTTTTTAGTTTTATTATTTACAAATTCAGTGATTTATTTGTTCACTATGATGGTGATTTGACATTCAAGGACACGTGGGTTTGCTGTACCATAAACGTGATGGCTGTGAATTCAGGGCCGAAGGCCATGCATTTGGTTGTTGACTCTGCTGGTTTTATTGAACAAGCAAAGTTGGATGTGAGTTTCTGTTGCCTATATATCTTTGTAGACGTACGGTGTGAAATGCCACACTACACAATCTGTACTTGACGAAATTCATGACAAACGAACGAGGGCCTTCATCAACACACTTCCTTATCCACTGAATATTGGCGTACCTACACCGGAGTCCATCAAATGGGGTATGATTTTTATGGTTTTTAATTTTTGCAGTTAAAGATTTGGCTAAAAAGACTGGCGATTATCTGGTCCTCTCAAAAACAGACATTGAAGTAATTGCACTCGTCTACCAGCTTTATACAGAGGTGACTGGAAAGGAACCAGTTGTCAAAGAAGTAGGACGCATTTGCTTTTATCTTCTTGTAGATTAAACGCCCCACTTTCACAGATAAACTGTTTCGTTGTCAAAAACCTCCTGATCTTTCAGTTAAATCTAAATCTAGAAAAGAGATACTGACCGACGAGGATTTTGATGCGGAATTAGTTATGAATGAAATAGAACAGGAGCTTGAGCACGTTCAGGAAGAACCACTCGGTGGTCAGATTGGCGTTTCTCTAGACGATGGCGAATTCAACGCAAATGAATTCGGTTTTGGGTGCGACTCTGATGCTGACAGCAGTTCCGATGGAGGATTTGCATCCGAAAAGTCCGAGAAAAGCGAAGAAATTGATGAAAATGAGTGGATAACTGCGGATAATTTTGATGAAAAACTGCAGGAAGGTTTAGGACTCGGTGCCCTTCGCTTGTAAGTCGATTTTTTCATAAAATGAATGTCTCTAATAATTGGAATTCACTCCACGCTCCAATTCGTACCACCTGATTTCGGGCTTTGTTGTGCTTATTACTAAACCTTTTTTTAGTCCAAATTCAAATATGTACCATCTTGTTCTTCGTACCTTATGCTGGCATGGCATTTGATTATGTCTAAGGTCATACTTTTTTGTCTTAGAAATGAAGAAGAAGACATTGCTGACGATGCCTCTCCCGTACCTGTCGCTTGTCTGACAAAGGACTTCGCAATGCAAAATGTAATGATGCACGCGGGTTTCACTCTCCTTGCCTTATCGGGAAAGATCATCAAGTGCGCTCGAACTCACGTGTTGTGGTGTGGGTCTTGTTACGCGTACGTCCGTTTTTATTCACTACTTATTGCATATGTGTGACCCAATGAGCAGTGGAAAAATTCGCATAAAGCACTTTAACGTGCTGTTCTCGCCTCATTGTCTTAGTTCCACTTCAAGGCATCACTAATTCCTTTTTATGTTACGGTTTTCTCCACATTCCCGTATTGTTTTATCTTGAAATACAGGAACACTTTCTCACTCTTTTTAACCCTTAATGACATTTCAGTATTTCAGAATGGCCCAATTGGTCTATTTTTAAAACAACAAGAACAACAATCCTTGCTAAAAGTAAATTTTGGGGTAATGTAATGTCTTAGTCCCAATTCAAGGTATCGATTTTTCTCTGAATTTTCGTATTGTTTTTTTAGCCCTAATGCCATTTCGGCATTCCAGAATGGCACTATTGGTCGATTTTTAAAAAAATAACAACAATCTTTGCTAAAAATAAATTTTGAGGTCCAACAACCAATGAGCTACTGTTCGAGTGAAAATCACAAGCCGACGTTCGTGCTGTTGTCAATTCGGGCTGAACTTCGTAGAGATTTCAAGCCGCAAAATGCTTTAATATAGACCCAATTTTGTCTCACTTTTGTAGCCATACAACGAAGCAGAATTCCTACTTCTGCGCGATATGCGGATACCCGAATCTACGACGAATTCCCGTCACCTTGCATGAGGATGGGCAGCTGGAATTCCATTTTTCACGGAAATTCAAGAAAAACCTCCGTGGAACGAAGGTACCACAGTCTTTTGTCATAAGCTACCCAAGTTATTTGCGTTTTGTCCGGGCAAATTCGGCTTTACTTTTGATTCTCTTCGAAGCGCTGTTCTGGTTTCATCTGCTTCGAGTTGACGGGGTGGTGGGCCAACCAAAGTAGCTGGATGACAAAGTGAAAATTTCGCTGATTGGTTTAGATGAAACAGCTTAAGGGTCGGAGGATTGGATTCAAGTCGATCCTGACCAACCCGACTTTGTTGTAGTTCCCGGTAAGTCGACTGAAGGGTGGCAAGCACTCCGACAACCCGATTTACCGCGCCGACCAACGTCTGCCTGACCGACGCGCTCCCAAGCCCAAGAACCCCAATGTGCTGCCGATGGGTGCGACCAACGGCCTCCTCTACTGCGACGACGACGGCGACGATTTCCTCCTGGACGAGGCGGCCTTCCCGGC